TGGCCTATAGCGGCACTGTGTCGCTATAGGCCATAGCGCTACTCAGCTAAATAATTAAATACATTTTTTTAAAATTATGTTTTTTAAAAATTAAATTTTATTTTTATAAATATATAATAAGTAAACTCAGTTTATTATTTTTAGGGTACATTTAAATTATTTTAGTTTTTTTCATTTTTTTTCTTAAATGGTGTCGCTATGGGTTACATCATTTTTGTTGGCCCATCAACTGTGTTGGCCCAGTCCATAGCGACACTGTTATGGCTCAGTCCAGCCCATTCTGGGCCAAAAAAAAAATTGCTACGTGGCATGGGTGTCGCTATGGCCCATAGCGACACCGTTGTAAACAGTCCCAAAGGCGTAAATACTTTCAAAAAAGCCTCATTTACATAAATAAGTTGGTCAACGGCTCCACATTAATCAAAAAGCCATGGCTTGAGTTCATATTAAATCAGAGAATCCTACTACTTATTTCCCTTGTCACGGTGTGTAGGAATTCTTCATGCTTGTACTTGAAATGCAGAATGGCATCAAATATATAAATCTCACTTTCATATGTTTCTTTTATATATTCTCTCTTTCAATCATCATCATCACTTCATTCCATTTTCACACATGTCCCCTTCAACTTTCCCCACGAAAGCCGTAGACCCTCAAATTTTTGTTCAAAACAGTGTCTACTTTAGGATAAGATCATGGATCATGATGTTATTTCAAGCAAGGAAATCAATCAAATTGTGTGAAACACATAAATGAAAGGGACATGATAGAAGGCATAGATGAGACCCACATATGGGGAAATGTACTAACTAGAACATAAGAGATGGGTGAATGATTAATTCATGCCATCCAACTTCGTCGTATGTGGACAACTTTCTAGTTTCTTCCCACTCACCCATCTCTTTCTTGAAGTTGCATCTTGGAAAAAGATTGATATCAACCTTTTATTTTTTTTTTCCCATTATTTTGTGAAAAGATTATTTTCGTTTGTGGTGTTTACACTCACAAATTGAACTTAG